CATGGCCTTCATAGAAAAAAACTAATACATAGAGGATAGGAGGCCAAAGTCAGGCGTATCTGTCTGGCAGGCACACAGCATCATGGAGGAGAGCTCTGAAGAGCAAAGCCCGTTTAAATACTAGTAGAAGAGAGCAAAATCACCGACGGCTGATCCCGTGCAAAACGTCTGGAGCCAAAAGATGGAACTTTACACAAGAGGGCAGCATAACAGCTGACCAAACGCTTTCGTCGTATCAACAGGAATGACAGGAGCCTCACTATAAAAAATCCTGAGACCTTTCCAGTCAGCAGGTCCGTAGTGCCAAATTTTGCGGCATGTATGAGTTTCTGCTGCCGCAGCAGGTTCTGACCAAAACCTGACCTCTACGACATCTTGGTCTGAGTTACTTAGGCGAGACAGGACAGTACTGCTGCAGTGCCGGATGCTCCGCTGTTCGATTTTCGTCCGCCGGCGCGCATGACGTCACGTTTTTTAGGGCAGTCAATGTTGCTGCTCGTCAACAGAAGTTCGTCTATAAAATTTTGCTTTTCTGTCACTATTCCGTCCCCATTGAACACCTTATTAAGCTTCTCAATTTGATTCATGAAAGCTGTGGAAGGTTTTGATAATCCACTTTTAGGCAGCAGCGGTGGCTGCAGTAGTAGACTCTTCGGTCTCCTGATCAGTCGCCGTGCGCTGTGCAGGTTCGAATCCTGTCCCAGGAAAAACTTTTCTCTTGGCTATGGATGTTGTGATTGTCCGTAGGTGGTAGATGGTCTCTGACTGTCGAACGCGGAGGTACCACCCGGCGGATCTCGTAGGCGGAGCCAGAATGTATGCATGTTGCATGCACACGTGTTCCCTCGCCAGAGTCCGTGTGGCGTTCCCCCTTTCCCCTGTATCCCCCTATAGAACCACGGTACCCAATGGGTGTTTAGGCCTTCGTGGTAGTTGGAGTATAAAAAAAAAGTAAGATGTTCTATCCAGGAATAAGTTTAATTTGAGGAACAACCTCTCATCCTGCACTTTACGGCAAACAAAGCTGGTCCAGGTGATGATAGAGACTTGGGTAAATTTTCCATATGAATGGCATCATCTTTTAGAGCACGATATCTTTTAGGGGTGTAACCCAAAAGGGTATGTTTCAAATTGACCTTATAGGCACTTTCACAAAAGTACTTCAAGCAAACCCTACCGCTTTTTACATTGATTTTGTATTTTATTTTTGGAGGATGTAGCCATTTTTTGTTAAGGTTTGGGTCTTGAGGAAAACTGTGAAACTTCATGTTTTTGCAAGGATTCCATTTAGATTTGTTGTCGCAATTGCATCCTACACCAGGACACCGCATTTTTATCAATTTATCAACCACACGGGGTATATAAAGTATGTACAACTAATACAACAACTCACAAAACCACCAACAAATCGCACTATATAGTATTAACCACGATACACGTGCACTGCAGTAACGTTACGACAATCCTGCCGCTGGTAACCACGAGCCGACAACTCTCAAGGTGACGTCACGGAGCGCCGCCCACATGCGCAATATCCTATCTTCAGTGTATGTTTATCGTGGATGAGCTGTTAGTAGCATCATGTCTAAGCAAGAGTTGCAGTCGTCTTGCTCGGAAACGCACAGCTACATTGACCCATGAAAAAATACGCGAAATTCATTGGGAAGCACTTGAGCACCCTTTTTACAGTCGCAATTTGTCGCCATGTGACTATCACAAGTTTGGGCCATTTAAAGAAGACCCGGGAGGTCCCCAATTTGACGACGATGAAGGTTCGTGAATAATTGACTACTGACACGACCAGCTTCATTCTTTGATGGGGGAATTGAAAAAGTTCCGATCCGATGGGAAAAATGCATCAATAAGATAGGAGATTATGTAGAAAACTAAGATGGAAATCCGGTTCATATTTGATTCACCCTCGTACCTCTAGCGCAATACTTTTCAAAGTTTCATCACTAATTACGGAAAGTTTAAAAGAAAAAAACAGAATGATCTTGGATTACAGGAACATCTGTCGAGATACATGTTCAAATGAGTTTGATTCATGATTTAACCCATGACAAATTACTGTCTTGTGAATAGCCTTTCCTTTGTCTTATAGTATGAACGTGGAAACATCATCAAAGCAATTAAGTGATTCTACAACAAAAATTTGCTAAGAGTATTGAAAAGGTGTTCCAATAGGCGCTACGAATACTATGATGTGCTCTAAAACAAGTACACAGGTAAAATAGAACGTTGAGGCTAAATTGTCAATGCCTGAAGTGTCCAGAAACTTAGGAATCAACCAATAGAGCTTAAACTCCCTTAGTTTCGAAATTAAATACTGTCAGCACTCCATGTACGAAAATGCATATGGTTTGAACCTCGTTCTGATGGAAATCTTCTGACCATGAAGATATTCGAAATATTTCATTTTGCATTGTTCAGAAGGGTTGAAAATTGTTTCAAGGAGCTTAAAAGCATACCATCTCTTTGCATAATAATCATTGTCAGCATAGTGAGGGTCCTAGTTGTGATTTGATTAAAAAGGTGAAAATGAACCTCAAGTACACAGTCCAAATATACTCATATACAGGGTGGCCCATCCATGTGGGGACGAAACATTACTCATAAAAAAATACATTCTGGGAAAATCTGTTTGTGTGATGTTATACATGACATTTGAGGGCACATTTCTAAAATGTTGGACATCATTCAGGGTGTCCCAATTTCGACCTACATATCAAAGTTGTGATTTTTCAAATGGAATGCCTCAAATTTTATTGTATATTTGGATATACCAATTCAAAAGGAAAAAATTGATATAACATACTATGGGGTTTTGGTAATTAGATATAAAGTATTTTGTCTAGGAAAACCCCCGACTTTGGCAACCCGTCAGTCCGCCATTTTGAAATTTGGAGTGCTGAATTTTGTACCAAAAAAACTTACACACCTTAGCTTTTATCTTATTTGTCACTTTTTCGAATTTTAATTTTTGCTCATACAGGGTGGTCAAAAACGCAAGCTTTTTTCTGATACTGGACACATAAGGGTTTTCACGGCTATTTTTTCGGTTATTAGCACGTCTATTATGGAACGGCTTAATTCCCTAAAATATCGCATCATCCTTGGAAGCAAATAAATTGTTGATTGGTTACAAACTGTCAAAATTAGCTTTGTGAGCATTATTATGAAAAACGTGTTTGAAAATGAATTTTTCTAAAGAAGAAATGGTGAATATGGTGTTCGTTTTGGCCGAAGCCCAATGAAATAGTTTCCTAGCATCTCGCATTCTATCTTGGCTTCCTAGATCACCAGATATGACACCGATAGATTTCTTTCTATGGGACTACGTTAAGCAAGAGGTTTATAGATATCCACCATCTACCCCGGAAAATATGAAGGAAAGGATTCAGGATGCTTTTCTGAACATAAGGGAACACATGCTGAGGGCTGTGCAATGGTCATTTATCCAAAGACTACGGCTGTTTATTCAACATGGTGGACATATTTTCGAGAAGATTTTGTAGATTAGGTCTTGAGTAGTGATAATTGTTTGTTTATGTTGTTGTTATAGTTGTCTTTCTCTATTACGCTTGAAGCTAAATACTGTTCTGATTGTCATTAGTTTTTACATCAAATCTGCACTCTTAGTGGCAATATGGAACTAGCCCTTTGTGTCTTTTGTTTCCATGGATGTGATTTTTTCCTTAATTTTGGTTTTTTGTTAATATTAAAAGCTTAATAACTCAAAATCTAGTGATTTTATCTGAATCAAACCTCAGGCTTATGAAAAACTGAATCCAAACTTGCACAAATATACAGGGTGATGCATTTGAAGTTTTTGAAAAAAATTACAATTCGCGTTTTTGACCACCCTCTATGAGCAAAAATGGTAATTCGAAAAAGTAACAAATAAGATAAAAGCTGAGCACAAATTTCAAAATGGCGGATTGAGGGGTTGCCGAAGTGGACGGTTTTTCTGGACAAAACACCTTACATCTCAGTAGGTAATTACCAAAACCCCATAGTATGTTATATCAATCATTTTCTTTTGAATTGGTTCATCCAAGTATGCAATAAAATTTGAGGCATTCCATTTAAAAAATCACAACTTCGATATGTAGGTCGAAATTGGGACACCCTGTATAATTGCCAATATATCAGAAATGTGCCCTCAAATATCATGTATAACATGCCATAAATAGATTTTTCCAAAATGTATTTGTTTATGAGTAATATTCCGTCCACACAGGGATGGGCCTCCCTGTATATGATGTCTTCAGCAAAAGTTACTTGACTCTTGACATCAATTGTGGTCGGATACTTCGTAAGTACATTTAGTTACGGCTCAATGTCCAAGAGAGTCTACTTTAACCTGACCGATGGATGACGTTTATCTCTGTCCTTTTATACATTGGCCCGAGTAAAAGAGATTGATCACATAGGTATATGAGGATGAGTCTTAAAACATGAAAACATATACATTTTGCTACAGATGAAGCTGGAGTGCTTCCAAGTATTTAACTATAAAAAATATTGATTGGCTGAAACAATCGCGGGTCCTCTGTCCAAGTATCCAGCTCTCCCCGAATTGACACAGAATCAAAGAGGAAATGTTTTGGGCAAACGGGGGATAGCCGAAATAAAACCCAAACGGTCCCTCAGAAATAACACTAACAGCACTTCGTCCGAGTCACTACCTGCCTGAAACATTTCTTCTTTGATCACGTGGTCTAAGAAGCGATATCCCGATCAACACAACATATTCACATATACACAGTCAGGGGCGTAGCCAGAAAGTTTCCTTGGGTGGTTTGTCATCACCATTGGGGGTATCCGATGGTCAAGACTGATAAACATGTTAAGGCCGAAGGACTTTGGTAAAGGTTGGAGTGGGAGGATGAGGCCCATAAGAACCCCCGTTGGCTACGCCCCTGTACACAATGAAACATCAGGCAGCAGTGAAGATATAGCCAGCACAGGCAGGTCAGACAAATAACGTTTGGTACCTAACAAGGGAATGGCATCTGATACTTGGGGCAAGGTTTCAGCCACAAGATTCAGGAACACAGTCAATGAGAGTAAGATGGTCACTCCTGCAACAGAATATATCTAAATTATGTCTACTTCTACTTGCATAACTTCACTCACTAGAGACAGGTTACATCACTAGGTACCTGATGTGATGTCATCCGTTCAGCAATACATAACATTGAAGTAACCTGGTTTTTATGTCATTGACACTCACTTTTCTCAACACATACTTAGGAGAGGTTCTAAAAAGTAGTCTCAAGTGGAAGCCTTGTTAAGGATATATACCAAGAGTTTCACATTTGACTCACCATCATGGTTTCAGAAACGGCTAGGGATATGGAGTCGGTTGAATGCGGGAACAGTTGCGCATTTGTATAACTTCCCGGGGCAGACGAAAGAAAAATACAGAATTTCCCTAAAATCGTTTTTATTTTTACCTGAATTTATTTGAGCTAGGATTTCAAAATAATTAGCACATTAACACTACCACTTTTTCTTTTCTACAAGATCAAATAATTGAAGTTCAATACATTTCGTCTCCTGTCTTCACTTATAAACTTTTTTATAGAAGCCATATTGAATTTTTCCACAGGTGAATCCATTTTAATTATAATGTCAAACCTTAGTTATTCCAAAGAAACTAATATTTTCATAGTTGGCTTTGAAAGTGACAACTCATCACATGTTTATTCGATTGCATTACGCCTTCAGTTTTTCAGAAGCTTGTTGGGCATTCAGATAATTTTCCTATTTATCGACTATAACAAGCATTATATAGCACGATGGACCTTTCTACTTGATACCTCAGCCGTATATTGATTTTGATTAAAAGCAAGATGTCTGTCATCGGTCTAGATATGACGGATATGTAATCATTATTAAATAATCAACTAACGAACAATTATCACATCTAGACATTACAATATCAATCCGTGTCCTGTGTAGAATATTAGATCATTAAAATAGTTAATATGGACTGTTTACCTACATAAATCCTGTTAAAATAACTGAAAGAATGCTTGGCAGATGATATTATAATAATAATCAGTTTATTCATGTATAATATAATCCCACAGAAGAATTTAATTCTTCTGCGGGGGGAAAAAATTATTCATAACAGTGTTTGCTTTGAATATAATTAAATATAGTTACATTTATGTACAACATATAACCAAAAAGGTGAGTGTAATAACATTATATTTAAAAGTTAATTAACTTTCAACTTTAGATAACAATAATTTCTTTATTTCGATCTTGAATCTATTATCATTTAAAATAGATTTCATATGGCTTGGTAAAAAAGTAATAATACGAGGGATGTCTTTTAAGTTTTCCATATAGAAACATAGTAGGCCGCGCGGATCGAACGTCAGTACTGAATCTTAACCTCACTGTTTTGTAAACTTGAATTCAAAGTTTCATAACAATACATGCAGTGTTCTCACTACAGTGAATTTTTTAGTATCACCAAGTCATTAGAAAAATGGAACTCAACCGAGAACATTTTCGCACCATAATTTATTACAACTTTCAGAGACAATTATCGCAACAAGAATACTTGCTGAGTTACTGTCTGTTTTCGGCAACGAAGCGCCACATCGGTCGAAAATTTCCCCTTTTTTATGGAGAATTCAAACGTGGACGGGTGAGTCTTAGCGAGGATCCCAGGGTGGGTGCACCAAAAACGGCAGTTACCCAGGAAAACGTCGATGCTGTGCGCACACTCATCATTGAAGATAGACATGTGACATATCGTAAGATTGAGGCGTCCTTGAAGATCCCAAAGACCTCAATTCAAAAAATTTCGCATGAGTAATTAGGAGCAAGAAAATTAGTTTCTCGTTGGATACCCCACCTGTTGACTAAAGAGCAGAAAGCAGCCAGGGTTAATTGGTGGCAAAAAAACGCTTGACCGTTTCAATTCCGGAAACTCAAAAAATGTGTACAGCATTGTTAGTGGCGATGAATCGTGGATTTACTGTTATGAACCAGAAAATAAACGACAGTCGGCTGTTTGGGTGTTCCAAGGTGAAGAAAAGTCAACAAAAGTCATCCGTTCTCGAAGTGTTTCGAAAAAGATGGTCGCGACATTTGTGTCAAAAGCGGGTCCTATTGCAACAATTCCTTTTAATGAGCAAAGAACTGTCACTGCGGATTGGGATACTACCATTTGTTTGCCAAAAGTCATCACCGAGCTTCGAAAAATCAACCCCGAAAGAAGAATCATCCTCCACCAAGACAATGCAAGCTCGCGCACAGCCCATAAAACAAGGCAGTATTTAATGGAAGAAAACGTGGAATTATTGGACCATCCTCCATATAGTCCCGATCTAAGTCCTAACGATTTATTTACTTTCCCGAAAATTAAAAACAGACTGCGTGGTCAAAGGTTCCAGTCACCAGAAGAAGCAGTTGACGCATTCAAAAATGCCGTTTTAGATCTGCCGGCAAACGAGTGGAATAAGTGCTTCGAAAATTGGTTCGAGCGCATGTAGATGTGTATTAATCTTCGTGGAGAATACTTCGAAAAACAATAAAGTCATTTAAAACTACCGATCGTGTTGTTTTATTTCCATATACAAAACTTAAAAGACATCCCTCGTATCTAGTGGAGAGGTAACTAAAGGCATCTTTGACCTACATTTTTTGGTGTAAATGGTGTTCTTTTAATACCCTCTACTTTACTTCTTGTTTCATACTTGTGGTCCAATGAAATAAGGTTTGTTTTATTTTTGAATAGATAAATTACAACATTGTAAAAGAAGAGTTGCCCAAGATCGAGTTGTCCCCCTTCGGAATATAACATCATGGATATATAAATAAAATATTTAAAAAAAATCAACTTTAAATGAAGATCCAAATGAACGCCTCAATATTTTGTGTTATCAGTTGACTGTATGGGAGTATTCGTATTGTGACACTTTTAATTTGCAAAGAGGTGAATGATGATAATTTACTTTTAAGGTTTGTGAGCGGCATATGCATGGTTTCCTGATAATTGATTGTTAAATATTTTGTCTCTAAACCAATCTAAAATAAAAATAATATCATGTTAAACAGTCTCTTCAATGCTATCCCAGGAATTGTTATTAGAATATAATATCACTGTATCATCTGACAAACATATTATTGTGCCTTGGGACTTCAAGCTAAGCAGGCTATTGACATAAAAAGTACAAAAAACGGGCCTATTGTTTTCTGTAAAAGAGGTAACTTCTCATAAGGCTTTGAGCGTCTCCTCTAACTCCTGCATCAAGAAACTGATGACAAATTGCATACTATTGTTACTGCTGGTGTGTCGCCAGATTTATGAATCAGTGTAATTGTTCCTATTTTATCAGTGTAACTCAGATTTAATTATTTATTAAATGTTAGTGCTTTTCTAATTTCGATTGCGATATTTTTTGGTACTACTGACCGTATGTCATCTAAACCTGGAGACTCTTTTTATTTTTTAGGCTGCAAACGGTATAATTCTATTTCTTTTTCTGTGACTGGTTCAAGGAAGAATTTTTACTCTAGATGAAATATTGGTGGTAGGTTTATTTTATTTGCCAGTTTTCCTGGCACTTGACCAAAATACTTATAAATGACTATACTCGTATGATGTTTGCACGATGGCGTTATTGAAATCAGGATAAAAAGGATAAAGAATTGAAGGAAAAAAGTAACAATGTTAATGTGTAATTTATTTTGGAACCCCCGGGACAGAAAAAAGTACAAGCTGAGTTGAGGAAATTCGTTTTTACCATTTTCTTTGTTACCTAAATGCGCAACTTTGCCCCCATATCTCTTACTGTTTCCGAGGTCCCAGTGGTGAAAGTCCTGTAGAGATACAGAAATCATCAAAATGAACGTTATTCGTTTTATATAACTATCGAATTATGATTTTTTTTACTTCTAGATTTTCATCAAATCGCAGTCCTTCAGAATCCTTTCCTCATAATTCACCATGTATGTGACTCTTCTTTCATTCAGTGTAGGACAATTGAAGGCATGATTCACAGTTTCGATAGTTCCCTGGATTATTAGTGGTCAAACATCCAAACACTCGTAGCATTAAGCTTCTGCTTTGTTGGAGTATAAGGATCGCCTAAGGACTCTTTTGGACAGGAGGTTTCTCCATCACCCCGCCCGCTTACCAGACTTCTTCCTGTTTGCAAAGCCAGTTTGTACAAATATTATCAATATCCACCTTGTATATTGGAAAAATCCAGAAGTTTGGTGAAAACAATTCATAGCTCGAAAGCTACAAAGAATCAAATATACATACGGATGACTCATGTACCTCTAATCTGGGAAATTAATTTTTTCTAAGATAAGATTGTATCAAATCTACTATCATCAACCTGCAATATGCTAAGTAACCCAAATGCTCTGTTGTCTTAGTCTACTTGTACCTTGTCACCACTAGTCATTTCCGATACGTAGTTTAAATTTCGGGGTAGTTAGTTCTTTCATGTTCAGGTACGCCAATGTTTTACCGGATACCTTACTTACCTGTCAAGTCTCCTTTTGTACGAGAACATCAAACCCAGTTTCGTGGAACTAATACCTATAACGTCCAATACCTTGCTAAACAATATCGCATATTTATAGGTTCCATGTTAGCACTAGCAAAGTTAGCTGAAATGTTTGTACTAGCTTACAGTGTCTAACATTAGTCTCAAGTGAAAGTTACAAGGACAAGGATCTTTAGTCTACGTAATATACAATATCACAAAGCACTACTCTTATTATTTAGAATTAATCAATGCCCCAATCCTATAGCTGGCCACGAGCATGTCTGATAAGTCATAGTTTTGAGTTTCCGAACAATGATGTTTATTTATTTAAATGCATCACAGGAAAGCAATAGAAGAACTATCATGATCTGCATAGATAACAGGCTGACTTTAAATTGTTCCAATCTCACAACGCGATTAGTGCCATCAGGCACTCGTGAGTGTTTCTATCAGCATCACAATTATTAAGGGTCAATCACAACCTAGGATACTATTACACTAGCGGCAAAAAGGAGTCCATAGCCAAGTAATGAGTATATATACAGAGTGTTCCTTAATGATATGCTAATATTTAAGGGTGTGAATATATATAAAAAATTAACGTTAGTTTGCTGTATAACCTATGGTCCAAAAATGCTTCCTTATAAACTTGGGGTTTTAGGAAAAAAATGGAAATTAATTAATATTTTGAGAACCGCTTCAGATATTTCACTGATATACGTGTAGTACGTAGTGAAAGTTAATAAAGTTGCATGTTTTTCAATGCAAAAATAATTTTTAGCTTTAACAGTGGCGTGCATACGGGTATTGACTTCGATATTTCTTAGGAAAAAAATGATGCGCCAATGATTTTTTTCCAAATTAAAATCATTTTTGAATTATCCGTTCAATTTAAAACAAATGATCTCTCTTGAATTCTTGTCCATCGATGCGCCATTTTTGAGTAAATAAATAAAAACCGTTCTATTGTCTAACTTGCAAAATTATTATTAATTTAACTGGAAAAATTAAACACATTAGGGGTAATGAACAACAACAACTAACAACATAAACAACATTAAAACCAACGAAACGATTACAAAAATTGTTAAAAATGGCCCCCTTCACTTTCTCTTAATTCCTCTACAGTGTTAATGGAACTTGTGTACACTAGTGTCTTAAGATAAGCCCCACAAACAGAAATCTAAACTGTTGAGGTCTGGGGACTTTGGTGGCTATTCTTGGGGCCCACCGCAGCCAATCCAACAGTTTGTAAATAATTACGAACCGCTACACTGAAATGCGCTGATGCACCATCAAGCATGTACCACATATTGTTTCTTATTACTAACGGAACATCAATGGGCCAATCAAGTGGTTGCCAATAATTCCTGCCCATACGTTAACCGAAAGTTGGTGTTGGAAATGGGTTTCGGGCACGGCATAGGGATTTTCTTCTGCCCACAAATGATTATTGTGGAAATTCTGAATGGCATTTCGAGAAAAATTCGCTTCCGTGAACAGAATCATTGATTCAAATTGCGGATTTTGTGTAACTTTTAGAAGATACCACTGACAAAAGGTCACACGCCTTGGAAAATCTATGGGAAGTAATGCCTGTACTCTTAAAATATGGTAAGGATATAACAAAAAATCCTCTAAAATTCTCCAAACAATTTGATGTCAAATATTTAAGTGTCTAGCGGTCATCCTCGTACTCGTTTCAGGATGTTCTTCGACTTCCTGCAGCACTGATTCCCCAATTTCAGGTGTTCTCACACTTAGAGGTCTACCTTCAGATGTTCCTTTTCGGACAGAACCAGACGACGATGAATATTAGAAAAGGTTCGACTATCTGGAAAGCACGATCGGAATATCGCTGGTGATAAATCCGTCTGGCTTGCTCCCCATTACCGTCAGCAGGGCCATATACGTAATTAATTTCCGCCATTTCTGCATTTGAATAATTCACCATTATTAACAAGATTGTAAAAACTAAATAATGAACAAGATGTCACAGCGAACAGATTTGAATAACAGAGACTAGTCAGATGTCAAAAGCCAGTGACATATTCCAGAGCAACTAGATATTTATTGCTAAATTGCATTATTACATTAATTTTCGTGGACAATAAATCGGTTTTTATTTTTTTTACTCAAAAAATGGCGCATCGAAGGAAAACAATTCAAGAGAGATCGTTTGTTTTATATTGAACGGAGAATTCAAAAATAATTTTTATTTAGCAGAAAACCATTGGCGTGTACCATTTTTTTCTTAAAAAATATCGAAGTCAATACCGGTACGCACGCCACTGTTAAAGCTGAAAATTATTTTTGCATTGAAAAATATCCGACTTTATTAACTTTCACTATGTACTAAATATCAGTGAAATATCTGAAGCGGTTCTGAAAATATTAATTAATTTCCATTTTTTCCTAAAACTTCAACACCCCGAGTTTTTGTAAGGAAACATTTTTGGACCATAGTTTATAAAGCAAACTAACATTAATTTTTCATGTAGATTCATCAAATATTCGCATACCATTGAGGAACACCCTGTATATTATTCGGGCTTTATTTCTTTTTTTTTTCATACTCGAGCCACCACGTGAGTCCAAGGCCTAAATACCCTGGGTACCGTGGGGCTAAGAGGAATATAGGGAAAAGGGAGATCGTCATACAGACTCTAGCGAGAAAACGCGTATGCATGTGACGTGCACACATTTTGATCCGCCGCGTGGTACCTCCTCGCTTGACAGTCTGAGACCGTTTATCATCTAATAGTATGAAATCTGATCGCTTTAATCTGCAGATATGTTTTTTATAAAACTCAATTTTTATCAACGCTAAATAATAGTAGCAGGGTTGCCTGGCAAAATTTAGCCATAATTATCTGTAATTAAATATAGGATTTTTAGAGTCCCACTCCATTCACATATGGCGCGTTAAACAGAAAAGTCCGGTTCACATTTGATTCACCCTCGTATATATACAAATATAATACACAGTA